ACAGCTTCTAGTCCACTGTAAATCCTAAAGTAGAATAGGTAAAAGGTAAAGGTTCCCTTGCTCGAAAGCCAGTCGAGTCCGGCTCTAGGGTTGCGGTGCTCATCTCCGTTTCAAAGCCGAAGAGCCAGCGCTGTCCAAAGACGTTTCCGTGGTCATGTGGCTGGCATGACTAAACACCAAGGCGCACGGAGCGCTGTTACCTTCCCACCAAAGTGGTACCTATTTATCTACTTGCAATTTATCGCTTTCAAACTGCTAGGTTGGCAGGAGCTGGAACTAGAGACGGGAGCTCACTCCGTCATGCAGCACTCGGGTCTCGAACTGCTGAACTGCCGACCTTCCACAGCCTGCAGTTCAGCGTCTTAATCACTTGAGCCACCACAGCTCCTAAAGTAGAGTAGCATGTGGTTAACCTGAGGTATTCTGAAATATGGTGACTCGTTGAATTAATGTCCTCCAAAACATCTTGTCCTTAATAGTCTTGCTCAGGTCTTGCAAACTGAGGACCGTGGCTTCCTCGATTGAGTCAATCCATCTCATGCTGGGTCTCTTTTCCTGCTGCCTTACTTTCCCTAGCATTATTGTCTTCTCAAGCATGGATTAAGGAATACATTGTCACAGAGACACCCAGTGAGCCTTGTTCTGATGTCTGGAAGCCTGGAATTGAAATGAACCAGACCCACTGCCCTAAAAATAAGAGTGTATATAAAATAACCGCAGAATAATGCTAACCGTTGCTTTAAAAAATTAAAAGGCTGCCAGCAGAAACTTGCTCATTTGCTTATTGTTAGGAAAATCCATTCCTCACACGTCTACAGCTAAGCTCTCTATGAGTCGCTCTTAGTTAGAAATGCCTTCTAATCGTAACTCCACTTGGAAGTCTGTTTTTCTAAATATACAGTTAAATGTGTTAAGTCTCTCCTGGCATTAGTTCTGGGGAAAGAAAAGCACACATTCAGAAGGCAGGGGCACACTGTGGTCAAATTATGAGAGTACCATGTTGGCAGAGCTTCTGAAGGGTTACCTGGAAATGACTAGGCATTAATAACAGTCTGATTGCTGTGCTGATTAGAACGAACTGCTC